CACACACACACACACACACACACACACACATACACACACACACACACACACACACACACACACACACACACACACACACAACCACCTGCAGCGCCCTGACAATGCGGATCTTGTTCTCTGGCGAAGCGCGCGCGTAGATGTTGCACTCAGGGGCCGCCTCCCTGAGCTTGGCGTCAGACAGCTTGTCCTGGGGTGAGCCGGACAGCGGTGGAAGACGGACAGGCGGTTGGTCCATGAACGTCAATTGAAAGAGTTTGAAGTTTTCTAGTTGACGGCAGCTAGCCAAACCATCAGCGCTGATGTGTTTGGTTGAGGAACGTGACGGGCGAGGGAGGCAGTACTGCCCGGCCAAAGGGAGTATTGCAGCAGTCCCTGCTGCTCGTGCGCAGTTGTGTTGGGACACAGAACAGTGCCTGCCGGCCAAGCAAGGAGTCGTCGAAGACGGAAGGGGAGAGCCGGCAGGGTGCTGTTTGGGCTTCAAGGGGCGCTCACCACTTCGGGGCCGGTGAGGGTCATGCCGCCACCCGCGATGCCCAGCATCTTGCCGATGGCTAGGGCGGTGGCAGCGTGGTCCCCCGTAATCATCTTCACTGCGGGGTGGTGGTGGGGTCCGGGTCTTGCTGACGTCATTTGATGCGCCGCACACATCACCTCAGCCCCTGGGGCGGTTCAAGCCCTCTGCCCCTCAATCAGGTGGTGCAGCCCACAAAGAGCTGCACACGCCCGCAATGGCCACGCACCACCAAGCTGCTGTACCGTGCCATTGAATCCACTGGTCCATGCACCCCCTGCACACGCCCCACCCCCTCCCCGTTGGCCCCCACCCGTGATGCCAGCGCGGTGGGCCTCCTTTATGGCTGCGACCACCTCCATTCTTGGGGGGTCAAGGATCGCGAACATGCAGACAATTGCCAGGAAGGGGGGCCGCTTTTGGATGGAGGCCGCGTCCAGGCCCTCCAGCGACTCTGAGGCCGGCAGCTCCGCCCTTGGTGAGCGGGGCGGGGAGGGTGGGCGTTTGCAGTGAAGAGGTTTGAGCAGGGGAAAGGAGGGAGGGCGTGCGGCATGTTTGGTTTGGGGAAGCAGAGGCGGGGTTGGCTGCAGGGGTGTGAGGGGAGGGCAGCAAGCCGAAGGGCCGTGGGGTATGGGCGGCGGGAAGTAAGGAGGACCTGAAGGCAGTGACACGGAAGGCCGGGCGTGCAGCCCCTGCCCCTCGCAGTCCCCCCCCCTTGTGACACGGAGGTGCCGGCTGCACCCCAGGCCCCCGGAACCAGCCTTGGGCCGCGGCTGTCCCCCGTGCGCCCCGCCATCATCATCGCCATCGCCATCGTCGTCGTCACAGCACCTGCAGAGCGCCAGCACGCGCAGCCCCTGGGCGCTGAGCTCCTCCTGGGTGGCGTTCCAGAACGCGGGGTCCAGCGGCGCCGTGGTCGACGGGTCGTCACCCACCACCTGAGCAAGGGCGAGAGAGAGTGCATTGCAGGGAGATCAGGCGCGAGAGGCAGCGCTAAGATCAGGTCGATTTGGGCGCTTGAGATGAGAGCACTGTCACGTTTTGGGCATGCGACATGCGTGCTGCCGAGACCTCAGCGGCGCAACCAGCCAGGGAGTCCGCGGCAGCGGCGAAGTCACCCGGCTGCACCAGCAGACGGCACGGAAAGACAAACCCCTCGAGCTTGCCTGGCTCTTGCAGAGGGGCAGCAGGCGGTCTGACGCGCCCTTGACGAACATGGTGCGCGCGCCGCCGCCCTCGTCGTGGACTGTGGCCATGAACTTGTGCTCTGATTCAAAGGGCACCGACGCCAGGCGGGGCTTGGCGGCCTTGAGAGCCGACAGGTCGAGGCCGGCCTGAGTTTCAGGGTTGCGGGCGGGTGAGGTTCCAAGGGTTGAGTGTCAGGGTTCCGGTATTGGGAGTGGTGGTGCGCGGCAGTGTGGTGGAGTAGGGGGCGTGGTGGGGTGCGGGGACATGGTGGGTAGGGGCTGCAGCAAGGGGGCAGGGCGAGGCCGGCTTGCGGAGCGGCAGCGGCGGGG